TAACCATCTTCGGCAATGAATCTCGGTGGTAACATTTGATTGCTTGGGCTTTGATTTCAGCAGATAGGTTCTCTTTAATCCAAAATCTATCTGGATTCTATAAATGTCTAGTACCTTTAAATTGGAAACACGACTCTCATCAATAGTTCTCTGCAGTGGATTTAGGAATTTATGCGTATTATGCTGGCACAAACTAATGTCCTTCAATTAGCTATTATAAAGCCATTGCTGATATAGACCAACAAAAATCGGTCTGGCAAATCTTCTCTTTGTGCCTGTCCGTAACCTGTTATTTACCAGCAGGTCTAATGATCGATTCTCCTGTGTTACTTTACTGTGTATTTTTGGAGCAAGGTTCTACACGGCTTTAGGAGATTAGTCTAGTCGAAAGGTTGGAATACTCTTAAGCGAAAAAAAAAAGATCTTCTCTTTGTGATTTATTAATACATTGTTCACGGTAAGAAATCTTGTTGACGTCCTACATGATGAAATTCTTGAACTATCCTCATCCTATATTCTGAAAACCAACCAATTATTCCCGGCTTCCAGCATTGGTAGCAAAGAAGATTAGATTGCCTCTGAGATGTTCCTCATTCTCCTTCTCAATGGCATCTCTGTTTATGCGTTACTGTCAACAGAATTAATGCACTGAAAATTTCCTCCCCGGTAGACAACATGGCCAGGCCTTTCCGTCGAGCTCCAACTTCCAAAATGTAGAATGCGCCAATAACCACGATTATGGCCCTTTCAAAAAGAAAGTCCAGGTAAATACTTCCCCGAAGGACTAATATATCGTCAGAAAATTCAGGCATTAGAATTCATTAATCACGTAAAAATTTCTGGCCAATTTAGTCATTTCATTTTAGAATACAACTCATCATGAGATATAAATGTGTGATATTAACATATAAATGTAATTAAGAGTTAATAAAATATCAGTCGACCTGTATTCTGATATTTTATTGCGCTCAATGCTTGATTATAATACGCAATTTTTTCTCAAAAAAATTTTTGTGGCATCTTTCAAAATATGCAAAGTATCAAATGGTTTGAGTTTCTAGGATTATATATTGCTTTGAAGCAAAATTAGGGGAATAAAAGAAAGGAAAATAGGGAGAGAAAGGAATGATTTCTTTTTTTTTTTGCTTTTTGCCATATTTTGACTTAACAAGGTTAGTTTAGGAATTTCAGCAGAGAGAGCCTGCACACGCGCAAAAACTTGTGGCACGAGCGAGTCAAACCCCAGAGAGGGAGCAGTGCCGCAGCCTCTGGCAGGCTACCCATCCCTTCGGCCAGCGAGAGCGAGTACCGCTCTCTCCGCACTCTTGACCTGGGCTCTCTCTAAGCCCAAGCGTTTTCATTTCTCCAAATTCGCCGAAACAAAAGAGACTTTCTACGAACAAACAGTGATAAAAAAGAAGCCAAAAACCTCGTTTTACCTATCCACTGGGGCGACCTGAGATCGGACCGACAAAACCCTAGCTCAACCACTGAAGAATCATGTGGAGAAGACTAGTCTCTTTGCAGCTCAAAACTTTGTCTATTCCTCGATCGGTTCCTAAGCCCCATCGATTCACCGCCGCCGGTGCCGTCTCTTCATCTCCGGAGTCATTTCGGCCATCCGTCACCCTCTTCTCTTGCCAGTTCTCCACTGAAACTGGTATGCTTCCATCCAAGCCCTAATTTTTCAGTCGGATCTTCTATTCACCCTCTGATTACTACCAGGCATTTTCCTTCTACATTTGTGCGCGTTCATAAAGCCTTTGTTTGTGATTGAATGGAGAAAAGAGTGAAACTTGTGTTGAATTTTGTTTGGTGTAGCAAATGTGGCAACGAAAAAGACAGTTGAGGATGTAATGCCGATTGCGACTGGTCATGAGCGCGAAGAGCTTGAGGCTGAGCTTGAAGTGAGACTCTTTTTTACAATTCCTTTTATTTATTATTATTTTTTTTTTGTAGAAAGTCAGTTATTGTTGGCTTTATTATTTTAAAGGGACATATTTGAGGTTCTGAAATTCTGCTGTTGAGTGTAATTTATTGATAGGTGTCATCTATGGTTGATAGTTGTTCTATTTTTTGTGATTAGGGAAAGGATATTCTGGCAATCAACTATCCCGTTGGTCCTTTTGGTACAAAGGTCAGTCTCATGTTTTTGCTTTCAAGTAATTTTTTCAGCTTATCTCATTGTTTTTGGTTAAGCTGTAGTTGCTTATATTGCTATTGTTGTTATTCAAGGATTGAAATGCTGGGATTGGCTTCGAATTAGCTAGTCTGTACAACACTTACTGGTGGCTCTGAATTAACAAAAGAATTATTGTGGCATGGTATATGTAGGATGCCTTATTGGTCTAGGTGAATATAAAATAAATTATAACTTATTCATCTGTCAAATACATTTTTAATTATTGTTAGAAGTAAGACTCGTTTAAATTCCTTGAACCAGTGGTTCCATACCTGCTTAGCACTGTTTCCGATGTTCATTCGTATTTTTGTTGTTTGTGTTAGCACAGCATTGATTAAAAATGGCTTGACTTGATTCCATTATATTTAAGAACCAGTGAATCATCTTTAAAGAAATTTACTTGCTGTAGATGTGAGATGACCTTGAAGTGATTTTAAATAATTGAATATGTGCTTGGTAACTGTTCAAACATGGCAAAACTGTGAATAGTAGTGATATTGATGCAGATCTTGATTTATATTCAGAACTATGTATTGGAGTTCTTTTACTTAGCTATTGCTGTCTGTTCATCAATGTCAAATGTGGTGGGTTTTCGGCTGAAGGGGTGTTCATTTAAACTTTAACAAAAGGTATGAATGTAGTAAATTTTGGTCTGCAATCCTACATTGCATCCTTATACATTACATTGTGGTCTGATGCCATGTCTCCCATGATTAGAAGCTCATTGTCCTTGATCTATTCTGAGACCCTTGGAACTTTATTGCAATTGTCTTTAAGAGTTCCACAGCTTTCAAACTGCAAATCTAGTGGAATTGAAGTTGCTGCTTGGGTAATAGAAATTTCCTTAATTCCAAGAGTAGCATTGCAATCATGTGATGGAAATGAAGTTGCATGGGTAAATGTGACCATCTAGCTTATACCAAATAGTTAGGATAATGACTTGTTAATTTGGTTTATGTAGTTTGCCGGAGTTACGTTCTACATATTTGCTTATAATCTTTGATGAAGATTAGGTACTGTTATTGGGTTAATGTGAGTGAGTGGACCTAATCTACCCAGTTAACACTGATTATGATTAGAGAAATCTGTGTTTTAATAACTTGTTCTTTCCTTTTCATGTCATATGTAATGAATGAATGAGAGGCCCTCACAAAAGCTGTCCCAATTGATGGGATACGCAAGGAAGGTTGGGGTTAGGGGGACTATGCAAGGAGACAGTTGTTCTGAGCAGTTAAGCCAGAAAGAGGGGAAGAAAGAAAGGGGCTATCATAATTATATGCATTTCAAGCTTGATGAAGAGGGAAAGAAAGTTTTACTTAATTTTACATTGAAATTTATTAAGCCTAAGGAAATGGAAGGGTAGGCTGAGGGACTTAGGAGCTTTCACTTGTCTTTCACATTCAGTTATCCTCAGTTTAGTTGAAGCAGCTTTCACTTGTCTTTCACATTCAGTTATCCTCAATTTAGTTGAAGCGTATTTGATACTTAGTTTTGGGTTTTAGTTGAAAATCCATTATCCAATTCTGAAGTATAATCTTTAATAGTGTTCATTGGCTGTTCAATTTAGAATCTGTCTTTGATGAATTCATTTGTGTAGCACTTGATTGTGTTCTATTTGTTTTGATGCTTGGAACTGTCAATATTGATGCAATTTTTGTGCCTTGCTCGCTTGCAGGAAGCACCTGCAGTCATTCAATCTGTCTATAACAAAAGAATTGTTGGATGCCCAGGAGGTGAAGGCGGTAAGTCCTTGTAACTTACCTCCTTTTTCAGTTTATGATGAACCAGTAATAGTCGATTCTCAAAATGGAAAGTCACGGAAAAGGAAGAATTTAAGTGAATTTTAATGCAGTTTCTCTAAGTTGTAATGTTCACTTCTGCATAATTTTATTGTCTTCTCCTTTAACAGAAGATGAGCACGACGTTGTATGGTTCTGGCTTGAGAAGGATAAGCCGCATGAGTGCCCAGTGTGCTCACAATATTTTGTGGTGAGTAGCATGATAAATCTGGAATTGAGAATTTTAATATTGATTATATTTTGAAGCAGATACGTGTGAAGATGTATGCTGACATGCAAATTTGAGTGCTTCTTTTGTCCACTTATTTGCATTGATAAAGACAGAGTAAAAGAAATTATTTGTTGTGGTTAGAATTAGTCAACTTGATGGGATCAGTTTTGATTTTTATGGTTAAGGAAATTAAGTAGCTTCTTGTTTCTCAAATTTTCCAAGGTCAACTCTAAAGGAACGATTGAGTAATTTGCCCATCCTTTTGTCTGATACATTTATATGACCAATATAAAATTTTGTTGATGGTATGTCCAGGCCTTAGTTGCTATGATTAGCTTCATCATGTGAAGACCGACATGTAAATGTAATGGATGGGATTACAAATGGGATTTTATTGGCTCCACAAGGACATGACTCCATGGCTTAGTTATTGTGGTTAATTTGTTAAAAATATTTTTCTTGTACACAGTTAGAAGTAGTTGGTCACGGAGGAGATCCTGAAGGGCATTCTGATGATGAGCATCACTAGTCGGATTCTGCAATGAGCCGGCAAAAGAGATGATGAGAGGATCTAGCAAATTCAGCAGGATGTGAAAGCTTTGTGTTTTGTTCACTTCTGAAAAGTATGTTCTTCTGAAGGTTGCTTTGGCAACAATTGAGTCTGACAAATTTTTCTTTATACACTTTTTTGGTATTTTAAGCATGGGCTGGTCATCCATGGGAATTACGGACTCTTTGACTTTTTTTTAGTGCAAGTCAAATAATCAATGGCTACAATTGGTTCATTTGTAATTGACATTGGTACTTTATGAGACGATCCATTGAAATTGAGGTGTCATTAAATGGGAAAAAAAATAAAAGAGGAAAGGATGCAATCAAATCCACCTCCGAATCAAACCTTTCCCCAAAATCAGAAAGGACAAAGGAAAGGTTAAATGTGGAAAGAAAATGGGCCAATCGCAGACCTACTTTTGCAAGCCTAGGGAGTTGGACAAATCCTGATGCATTGCGGCTTAATGCTTATGTATGACCTTGGGAATTGTTCATGTTTTGATGCATGGCGGCCTAATGCTTTTAATAACCCGTTTGGATTGTATGTTTTCTGGATAAGTTTTTTGATACATGTTTCTCTATGATTATGATCTTTTAATATCACGCACTAGTCTCTGCAATATAGCGTTATACCTCAATCTTTTCCCACAAAAACTCCTGAAATACGCAATCCAAATGGCTACCGTCTTATTTAGTCATCTTATAAGCTTTCTGACTCAGACTCTGGTAGAAATTCAACAGTGTCGGAGCTACTAGGAAAACAAAGGCGGGGTGGCGGCTTTGTTTTACTCGCTCTCGTTCAGTGCTGCTCGAACTTGTGCACAAGATGAAGTATTGAACCTATCGGTTTCGCCCAACAAGGAGCCCAACGACTGGGGAATGCTTCCGATGCAAACCATGTACAGCAGCGATGGATGGGACTCTTATTCCTGGGGATTCCTAGCTGACTCCGACGTGATTGAGATTTCCATCCATAACCCAGGAAGGGAAAAAGACGCTACTTGTGGCCCTCTTATCGATTCTGTTGCCCTCAAGGCTTTGCGTAGGCCTCTAAAAACAAGAGGTCATTTCTCTCCACCACACACACACACACACACACACTCTCTCTCTCTCTCTCTCTCTCTCTCTCTCTCTCTCTTGCATCTGGTCCAATTGTTTAGTTTGGTAGATGACTAGGGAGGGTTTATAAATTATAATTGGACCAGGGATTTTCCTATTACCTAATCAATGTCTCTATCTGCTAATGTGGGTTTAGGTGACTATTGGGGGCTAATTATCTATGTAGTTTAGAAATTTGAAGTGAATTAATTTATATTGACATCTTATTTACCATAAAACTTAAAAAAAAAGTGTGAAGTGAATCACATCCATTAGTAGCAACAGGTGAACCTCAGTAATTGTTCGGACCCTCAATCCGTTAAAGAAGTCCATAAATTCTGAAGGCCCATTTCTCAGGATCGATGTTACTTCCTAATATCTCCACAAAAAGAGCAATAAATTCTATGGCATATGCACGTTTAAGGGGGGACACGATAAACGTGTCTAATCAAATCTAACACTTTATTGTTCAAACTTGTTTAATAATTTTATCGAGTTTGAAATTATATTTAAATTTGATTTGTTTAATTGATTCCAAAATACTTGTTTGAGTTTAATTTAATTAGTCGGCGAACTAAACTCGAGCAAGCTTTTACTGAGTCGAACTCACTGAGTACTTTTGTTTGTCTTTCAACCAAACTGCCGCTTGCGGCCTTTCTCACAAATCATTAGAAGGAAAATCATTAGAACCATGATGACTGGATCACAACAAGAAGTTTCTTACTAGATTCTAGCTCATCCATTCCTTTGCTAATTCAAATTCTGTATTCAATCCATGTTATTCTATCAATGTGCCTCCTGCTTTTCAATATGAACCCACATATCTTGGTTCATTGATGCAATGCAGGAAATCTGTTGAAGAATGGAAATTTTGAAGAAGGTCCATATATCTTCCCCAACACAACATGGGGAGCTCTAATTCCTCCCAACATCGAGGACGACCATTCCCCGTTGCCCGGCTGGATAATCGAATCCCTCAAAGCCGTAAAGTACGTAGATTCAGAACATTTCAGCGTCCCAGAGGGAAAACGAGCTGTAGAACTCATAGCAGGAAGGGAAAGCGCTATTGCCCAGATAGTGAAGACCATCCCAGGCTGGTGGTACGATCTAGTTTTCTCAGTAGGCGATGCCAAGAATGGGTGTGAAGGATCTATGCTAATAGAGGCGTCTGCTGGGAAGGTCACGCTTCAGGTGCCCTACCAGTCCTCTGGTAAGGGGCAGTTCATCCGAGCCACCCATCGATTTAGAGCAGTTTCAAGGCGCACAAGAGTCAGGTTTTTGAGCAGTAACTATCATATGAGGAGTGACAATACTGGAACATTATGCGGTCCTGTGATTGATGATGTTCGGTTGTATAGTCTTCGTAAACTACGTATGTGAAGCGATTCAGCCACAGATACTCTCAAGCGTCAGAATTTACAAATCCTCGAGTTTACTCTCTCGCAAAGTCATGAATCGTGATCATCAATAGCTTATGAAGGAAATCTATTGTCTTGTTATTGTGCTGGGGTGGGGTGATTTTTTTTTTTTTTTCCTTTTTCCCTAAGATTACTATTACTGCTACTACAGAAACAATTCAAACAGAGAAGAGAGCTTTTAAGTTGCTATATTACAGCATTGGTCAGTATAAAATCATACTCCAGATTTTAGTTAAGGGACATCTTATCGTACATGGTGATGTTTAATTGCTTCTTGCTGCCGGGATAGAGTATTATTTGAAATATTATTTAGAATAATTACGGTAGCACTTTTTGTGTGATATGATATATGCGAGATAAAAAGGTAATTGAGAATATAAAAATATGAGTTGGAAAATGTGTTTATGATGCAAGCGAAATATTATTTGAGATATTTGTACTATCCAAACACTATTGGAATTATAATAACGCTTAATTTCAATAAACCCCTCGAAAAGTACACTCTTCTTTTCTCATCTTGCCCCCTCGAAGATTGAATTGCACTAACCAACCCCTATAATAATATTCTCAAATAGGTGCAAACGGGTCGAGGAGCCCAATGTGTGGCAAATTCGGGCATGCACACCTTATGACGTGCTCAATTTTTAAATGATCACCTTTAGTCAATTTTCATTTTTTTGAGTGGATTTTGGTTGGAATTTACCGGACCCACATGACGTGCTCAATTTTAAAGGGTAAGAATGACAAACCGCCTTGACTAGAAATGTGAGAGGACTAACAGTGCAAAACTTTAGTTAAACATTCATCAAAAAACACATAACTAACCCACCATTACTAACAATTCATCTAACCCAAAACAACCTAAAAATTCATCTGAAGGAAATTGCTGATTGAAATGCTAGATATATTGGGTTCTGAGACAATGATGCAACAAGTGCAGAATGACTCGACCACCTTGGCTTGATCGACGGATGCAATTTCCACAATTTCTCCATTTTCCAGCATTAGGGCCGGCCATCCTGACTTTAATGGAGAATGGGTTCTTCTTGGCTTCAGTAATTGCACCACCGCTATAGACCGTGACAGCACCATCGTCGCCCCATCGTTGCAAGTGTTCGTAAAATGCCTGAACGAAATGTCCAACTGGCTAGAAATTGTATGTGATTAGTGTTAGGATGCGAAATATGGAAAAAAGAAGAAGGATAACATGAGCGAAGAGCTTAAGAAGAAGATTAGGGGAAATCAGAAAATAGGGCAGAGTATGGTTCAAGAAGCTTCTGGCAGGTTACTGTGTTAGGCTTGTAGGAAGAAAATTAGACAATTAGAAACTTCCGATGTCTCCAAACTCCAAGGAATATGCTTTACTATGCTTGCCTGCTTCCCGTACCATCTATGGATTACCTTTTTTTTTTTTTTTTTTAACATTTATCTTTTATAGTAAATTTGCTTGTTATTTTCTTGTCTTCAATCACCAATTTCCTTCGAATGAATTACAATCAACTAAGAGGAGTTTGCAATTAGGGTTCATTTTGGGTTGAGACGAATTGGAGATTTGAAGGTAATAGTGGAATATTCTTTGTATTTAGATGAATATTTAACAAAAGGTTTGCACCATTAGTCCCCCAAATTTCTGATCAAGTTGATTTGTCATTTTTACTCATTAAAAATTGGACACGTCATGTGAGCACAGTAAGTTTTGGCTAAAATTCGCTTGGAAAAGTGTAAAGGGATCAAAGGGAATCATTTTTTGTTTGTTAGAGATTAAAACTGATCATTTTCATTTTGAGGGACTAAATTTTCATATCAACAATATGTGAGGGAAGATTTGGTGCAATTCTCTCGCATTAGCTGAATTTTAGTTACCTAATCCTTAAAGAATTAAATTTGGTCAACTGAGTACTTAGTTGAGATGGATTTTCAAGGAAGGAAGAAGACAGCCAAAGAAAAAAGAATCACTTGGTTGTTTTTCAAGAATACTTTGACATGCTTTGTGATAATCTGGCATTATCTTTTCTCTTGATTCTTTCAAATAAAGAAAGTTTACTGATGAAATTTTTTCTTGTGAAGCACGCCTTATTTTCTAGGACATCAAAGTTTTGGTTTATCATGTCTGTAGAACATATGAAATGTAAAGTTTGTAATGTCCATCTTCGTTTATGATGATAATATGCTTCATCAGGTTATTGTTCCTAGGGCCAGATTCTTCAAATCATCAACTTTTCTTTGTAAAGTTGTCCTTTCTCCTCTGGTTAGCCATATCTTGAACATTTGAAAAATGCATAATTTGCTGTCAGTGACAAGTGACTTTACCATAGCAATTATTTGAACTCCTGGAAGTTCAAAGTTCTGAATTATCAATGCGTCCTTCTTCCCCTGCTGCTGTGCCAACTAATTCACAAGTTGCAGTAATTTATTTGTCGACTTGACTCCAGAACTTTTTCCTGCCAGGATCTTGACCTCACCCTGCTCCCTCTCTTATTGGCCCTCCCCCAAGTCCAGGATTTGTCTTTCAGTTGCACCTGATCTTGATTTTCATTATCATCCTCTCTTTTGACCAGCTTTTCCAAGGATGTAGTCTGGCTTAAGTGATGTTAACTTGATACACACCGAATAGCTCAGCTCAGTGCTTTTAGTAGCTAAGAGGAGGAGGCAAGAGGGACGACAACTCAAGCAGTCAAGCCACAGTTAGCCTATAACAAGGGCTTTGTTGGTCGCAAGCTTGAATCAGTATTACTTTACCCTGAAGTATGCCAAGCATTTATTTAACCCTTTGTAACGCAACTTTGCAGCATTCATGGGCAGCGTGCAATCATGATGTTTGATGTTACAGCACGTTTGACCTTCAAGAATGTGGCAACATGGCATCGTGATCTCTGCAGGTGAACCATCATGTTTCATATTACCATACACTTCAACTTATTTCTGCAGTCCTTTATTTTTTGGCCAACATTCTCCTGTCAATTACAGGGTGTGCGAAAATATACCAACTGTTTTGTGTGGGAATAAAGTGGATGTCAGGAATAGGCAGGTAAAAGCAAAGCAGGTCACATTCCATAGAAAGAAGAATATTCAGTACTATGAAATTTCGGCGAAGAGCAACCACAACTACAAGAAGCCGTTTCTCTATCTTCTTCGGAAACTTGCTGGGTACTGATTACAGAAGCAGCATCTCCTGTAACTTTACTATCTATGGATGGCTCTTGTTCCTACCTTTAAAATTTTTTACGGCAGCTGTCAAATTGTTTTGTTCTACAGGGACCCTAACCTTAACTTTGCAGAGCAGCCTGCTCTTGTACCACCTGAAGTTCGTATTGACGTGGTTGCACAGCAGCAGCAAGTGATCATGCAGAATTAAAAGCAGAGAATATATAGTTAACTCAAAGTCTCAGACATCCCTCACAATTTTGAATGTTTTAGTGAAGTTGTACTGGGTTTAGGCTTTGTATCAACATTGCGTCTCGGTTCTGGTAAATGTTCTGACGCTTAGGTAAGCCCAAGTTACTGTTAATGCAAGATGGCGCTCAGTGGGCTAAAGATTTGCAAAACGAGGCCGGCCCATAAATTTTATGGATCACATTAGGGTTTTCAAATTCTTCTTCTTTTTTTTTTTTTTTGGGTTTTCCTCATTGATTTTCAAGTCAATTTTAGTCAACGTCTTGTGATTTCCCCTGATATGATGATAACCCCCGATAGTTTTCCTGGACCACTTGAGTCCACGGCTAGCCTTCATATTTGACATCTTCTACATTCTCTCTGTTCTCCGCCCTTTTCCTCCTCTTTTCCTCGTCTTTTTTAGTATATAATAAATAGCCCTCTTCCGCCCTTCCTTCACTAAGAACCTGGCAATCTCACTATCCCACCGTCTGGTCTCTTTTTTTTTTTGCAGGAATATAAAATGGCTCATATGTGTTCGAGACGTGGTTTCCACCACTTGTGTGTTAATGTTTAGTTCTGGCACTTCGTTAATCACTCTTTTAACTCACGCACATGAATAAAACTGGTTCAACAACTTTTAGACACGCCATTATGGATTTGAAATGCTCAAACCAAGGAAGATGTAACACTTAATGCATTACGAAATATGTTTTTTAGTTCCTTATATATATATATATATATATGTATATATATATATATATTGTCCCCTATAATCTTGAGTTGTGAGAAATTTTTATCTCGTGAATTCATCAAGATCCTTGTTGGCATTGTTCAAGTAGGTCCCTAATATATAATAGCCTTATGATTTATGTATGGAATATAGTTTTGGATCGAATCACTGTCGTTCCACAGTATAGACCTCCTGGGAAATTGTCATTTTCTCAAAGATGGCAGAGATAAGTTTGAGAAAACGTCGAAAGGCTAAAAACCCTCCATTGTTCGTTTACTCTAGGGTGTAATAATGGCTGAAAAACGACACGGTATAAAGTTGGATATTAGCATGAGAAGTTGACATACACCTTTTACTTTTTCCTCAATAATTCTGTACAAACCACATGAGAAGCACTTCTCGACCGTCCATCAAAAAACAACTCATTACATAGCTACGGGATATCAACTTAGGCTCAGCATAACCAACCTACAAGCCACCAAACCATCCTAAAAGCCATGAGACACCAATATTCTGGATAAAAAAGACTTGGCACTTTCAGTGGTATGGAGATTAGAATGTCAACTCATGCAAGTTGGCCAAAGCCAACGCAACACAAATCAATACCAAGAAAACTTATATCAAGGTGGAATCATTATTATGTTTGGAAAATGCTCACACATACTCATGGTCATAGATGGGAAAAAAAAAAAAAAAGACTCAATCCCATCCGTTACCTTAGTCCAAAAGAATTGGATTGTTGAGCACACATATGGGAGCTACAAAAACATGGGCTGGAAAAGGAGACTACTCTACGCATGCGATGAACCAAAACCACGATTTACATTAGACAAGGATAAAGTTGTTAGATATTTAAATTATCGATGATTAGGTTCTTGATTGAATATAGCAAAGATCAGCTGCCATTATTTTATGCAACTGGCAACGGGATTTCCCTTTTTTGCTGAACCATTTGTACTTTGTGCATGGTCTTCAATGGAGAGACATAAGTTATCTAATCCAGGATGGTGTAAAAGAGACAAAACATTTGTGCAGCAAGTGCTTGGATTTGTTAACTCTGCTTGGAAATTGGTAAAAAGTTCTTGTAGTTGGTGGAATGCAACAATAAAATAGCCGTGATTTCATTCTTTTAAACTTTTAAAAAGGTGTTAAAACTTAAAAGAAGCCCCCCCCCCCTCCCCAAGAATTACGATGGCAAAAATGTTATAGATAACCTGTGACAGCATGATTGTAAAG